GGAGCAACTGTGGAAGCAGGGGGGTAGGAGCAGCAGAGGGGGAATGCAACCGGGGGAGGGGGGGAAGTGGTGGACGGAGGGAGCGCGACCAGTGAGCTGAGTCTAGTGTTCAGGCATCGACAATCCTCCAGCGCACCTCAATCAGGGCCCACCACAGCTCACGACCGACTACAGGTAAGAGAGAGAGAGAGAGAGAGAGAGAGAGAGAGAGAGAGAGAGAGAGAGAGAGAGAGAGAGAGAGAGTCGGCGCCTCACAGGGCGATCCACAACTGCATCCAGGCTATACACAACACAGCGCTAGGCGATACACAACAAGGGTGGCGCGAGGCAGGCTACACACAACACAGCTCGATGCTATACCCAACACGGACTACGGCTTGGACGCACAAGCACGAAGTTCAACAAAAAACGGCGCAGATCGGCACCGCCCGTCGTTGCAACAAGCCAGAGTGAGGTACCCAAAGTTGCCTGCGATCTGGGTCATTGGGCCCAAGCTCGAGGGACGACGGGCTGGATTCAGGCGCTGTCTTAAGACCTTAAGGCTGCTGGATCCAGGCCGTCAGTGCGGGAGGGCCCAACGGCCCAGATCACAGATTTGTTACATTCTTTCGACGACTGTGTCGATCCAGGCGGTAGGGCCCGACGGCCCAGATCGCAGATTTGTTACAGTCTTTCAACGATCTGGGCCGTGGACCGGTACGACCTATGGCGGCCCAGCTCTTAGCTTTGTGATGCTAGTGATTTTAACAGTGCAGGGAAGACCACGCGCCGATCAGGACCGTCGATCCGGTAGGACCTGATTTCAGATTTATTATATGTTTCCGACGATCCAGGCTGTGGGCTGGTAGGACTGACGACAGCCTGGATCAGAGGTTGGTTCCCTTAGCGATTTAAATAGTGTAGCGATGCTGGTAAAATAGGAAGAATCAAAAAAGGAAAGCTGCATTTCAACGGTTGAATGGCGAAGGGCCTAGTGTTTCGACGTTGCCTGGGAAAGGTAGTGTGGTGGTTTAAGGTTCAAAAACCTAAAAACAACAACTTATAATTCTGTTCTGGTTCCTCCATAGCAACATAGCCCGCGATGAATGTGATCTGAGGCCAAGAGCAGCATAGGAGCAAGGAGGGTAAAGAGGAAGGGAGCAGTGGGAGGGGTGGGGAAGAGAGGGAAGGGGGGGAAGGGGGGGAAGGCGGGGAAGGGATCGACCAAGAACATAGTACGTTATTGATGGCCTGCTGAATGGAGGGAGGACCTTTGGGAAAATAATAGTAAGGGGACCAGGCCAAATAATAGCCCGGAGACTTGGGAGGTGAATTGGGTGAAAAGATGGAAAGAGAAAGACACTATGACCAACCTGCTCCACAAAGATTTTCTCAATCACTTGCGCTGCCAACACCAGGTTCCTCAGGGCTTGCCGGTCACCTAGACTTAGAGAAGAAACCTGCAAAAATAGTAACGGTGCATTGGCACAAAGTGAGCTCAGGCGTCCTCTGCATTATTGTATAAATGATTGTTTCTTAATATTGCAGTTTGGAAATTGTTGAGATCAGTCACTTTGACAGGTGACAATTCAATTCCTGCTGGTTTGATTTATCCTTTTAACCGTTCAGAGAGACTCAGTTCACAACTAAGCTGAACTAACGCAAACTCTAATACCTCCATGCATGTGTTGACCAGACTCGACATTGCAATGATCACATCAATATAATAACAAATGATGTTGACGTCCTTGATGAAGAAAGCCCTCTTCTCAATCAATAGAACAATGATAGTAAGTATTAGTAACCGTTTTAGACTCCTCCTGGTCTCTCTACCCAGTGTGCATGACTGCGTATTCTACTGCTGGTCTAGCCTACACCACACCATCCACCATGATGGAAGACCTATTCCACTCCTCTAGATGACCACCTGGAGAGTATGCCACAGCAGCTCTCTCCCACGACCTTCCTTCGTCCTCCAAGGACCTCCCATTCTACTGCCATCCTCCTACACCATGGTGCCGTACAGCTGTGGCACCGGCCTTCTTCCTCAACACCGCACAGTTGTGGTGCTGGATGACTCCACGGTGCTGCTCTCCTCCTAGCAGGTACGCATTGAATTAGCACTATGCAGCCAGGCAGCAACCTGCGTCCAAACGATGATTTGACTTACCCGGTCTGCACTTATATATACTAACTTAAAGGGCAAAGCCTTCCTTCGGCCGGTATGTACTTCCTTCCAGACTGTTTTGGATTTCGCCGAAACCTACCAGGCCCAAGCAGAACTACTGGGTCACTGTCTGGTCCTACCCGGCTGGGACCCAGGGCCTTCTGGTCCTGTGCTTCCTGCTGGAGTCCGCAGGAGCCTCACACCACCTTTTTTTTTTTTTTTTTTTTTTYTGGCGGGGKGGGGGGGTTCGGGTTTGAGAGCGACCACACAGGATTGCAGCCATCAGGAAAAAGAACAAAGCAACATGACGACTTAATCAGTCCCATAGAGAATCCGCGTTCTGAACTCACATCAGCAGCCAATTTGACAGGCTCGTAGCGGCTCAACTTTGCCTTCAAGGATTTCACCCTTTCCTGTTCATCCCCTTCGTACCTGGAAAAGAATGACAAAAGAGTGACGGCAAAGTGGACGAAGTAAGTTGCATTCCCACGCAAGCAAAAGAATGGAGAAACAGCACAGAAAAAAGAATGTCCATGTCCTTCTAATGCTGAAACACAGAAACCCATTGTGTGCACGTCAGTACATTCCTCCCAAACAGCACAGGAAGAAGGGGAACTCCGAAACACGGAATCTGTGCTGTGAAGTTCAGAGGGCTCCAGAGTCAGATGTAGGAATGAAATTGAATGAAGTTCAATCAGGTTCAATGAGGATTTTTAGATATTCTTCTTTTCTTTCTTTGTGTGAGCACAATGGTTCTACAAGTGAGAGCGAGAGAAGAGAGAGCAGGAACACAGAGTCAGAAGTCAACGAAGATGAAATTGATGAATACTGCATATCCACAGAAGACAATCAGAAGCGTGGATGATTACCCCCAGACTCCGCACCAGCACTCATCAGGGGGCCATCTCTCCTCAAACAATTGCCTCTCGGCACACCGGCTAAAAGCCCAAACCCAACTGATCACTTACACGAGCCCTTCAGTTCTTAAATAGGTCCAATCCACACTGTGCCAATCGAATCGACCGGGATGCAGTATTGCTGATTTTGAAATCTCCTAGGCGCTGTTGCTGCCACAAATCTCAGGAAAGCTGATGGCCATGCCCTGTGATTCTGTGGGACTGTGTCTCCTGGGGGTTCGTTGGTGAGCACAGACCTCAAACAGCTTGGTTAGTTCATGCCAGGCATCTTGCTGTTTACGAGCGCAGTTATACAGCGTGTGATTCATGGTTGCATCCCTGCCGACCGCCGACCCCGACCGCCGACCGTATTGCAGCTGACCAGTAGGGCCGACCGGTCGGCGGTCTGCCGACCAGTAAGAAAACAACCATCCACTGAGTTGGACGCTGTACTGTGCTTGCTGAGTACAGCCCGAA